GATTTATATGCAGAGGTCCATATTCTGATCACTGTCTAAGTTTAGGAGTTTCCTTCTCCCCCACCCCATTCACAGTACAGAGTGGGATGGATAGAAAATCAGTAAAGAGCAAGTTTCTGCTTCTTTCCAGTGTCACAGGAAATATTGCACAGCTGAAAAGGGCCATGGGCTTGTGGTCAGTGCTGACCAAAGGAGATGGGTAACTATATCAGTTCCAAAGCTAATCTTTTGGCTACTATTTTTACGAGTCTTTTGGATATGCCCAAAATCAGAATTCTTTATATGGTTCGATAATTATGCCACTGATCAATTCCCTTTGCTGCTTCTGTTAGTATCTAAATTAGAATTACTTCAATTGCCTATTTAAATTTGAGTATACAGTTACATAACTTAGTTAAAAAGAAGTTAAAATACTTAAATGACCAAACTGAAGACTTGCTAGCTTTTTTGTCGCTTAGTTATGCAGTAGTTTATTATGCTTTTAACAACTACTTCTTGAAACTGAAGTACATACAAGAACAAATGTGTTCCTACTTGGTTTAGCCAGGAGAAATGCAGACAAATCTTTTGGCCAAGGCATTGCAAGCTTTCTTTCGCATTTGTATTTCTCCTAACTCCTCCATTGGATTGCTTTCAAATCTCCTCTCACCTTTCATTTTTCTCTTAAAAACCTGTAATTTGTAAGGAAGTGAAGGAAAACATGTTGCAATGTACAAGGTAGACTTCTAGGCCTACAGATTTGAGGTTGAAACACGGGGCAAGTGCTTAGAACGTACAGAACCATGGCAATGCCAGGCCCTCGGCAGGGTAGAGGGACGTTGCTGCGGTGCTGGGAGAGCAAAATGCTTTCTCGGGATGTAATTAAGGAATCCTGTGTGTGGTTGATCTAGTTTCTGTAATGGCATTTCATTACCATCACATGAATTCAACTGAGGTGTTGCTTCATGGGTAGTTCTTATAGGACTTAAGTCGCCACTCCAGCTAAGAAGCCGAAAGTGCGTAACAAAGCATCCTAACAGAGGAACGTGTAAAGAAAGAAATGAATTAGCATTCTCCTAACGTTTTCCTAATTGAGAATTCGGTGTTTTTGTGTGAGCTGTACTCTTGGAGGTAAGTGCCATTCCTCTTGAGGTAGAACAAGAGCAAGAACACTTAGATGAGCCACGTGAAACCACTCCATTACTGAAAGCAAGCTTTTCTGTGACCAGCAGGACTAAGGGGGCTGATTTCATGCCTTCTGTCACCTGAACTCTCCAGTAACTCCCTGTCTGCCTGGGGGAGTCAGTGCAGCAGGTCTGGACCTCGGTGCTCCCAGCCAATAGGTGCCCCGAGTCAATAGCCCCAGGTGAGGGGTGCACGGCTGGCAGGAGCGTCGCGGAGCGGGTAAGGAGCTGAGGTTATTAATGGGAACTCGTTAAGGTTGTTGTCCCCTGTCTCGTTGCTGATCTTTATGAGGCTGTTAGGATCTTTTTCTTCCTGTCAGATTTGCTTACGAGAATTCAAAGTTTAAAAGTTTTGGATTTGTAGAAACAAACAAAGAGACAGATAGGCAAACAGACATGGTGCTTACATTATGAAGTTTTCCCACTGCATGTTTCGTACAGTGAAATTATTACTGAGCCTTGAATGTTTTTATGTCTTGGAATTATCAGCATTATATTAAGTGACTTTTATTTCACAGATGCCTTGCAGATTGTGTCTTGTATTTCTTTTTCTGAGAGAGTAGTATTTTAATCTTTATGAATGTTTTTGACAGTTTTGTGAACATGTAGAACTTTCCTACTTAATATGGGTGGTCTTATCTATTGTTCTTATAAATTCTCTGATTTTTCTTTTGTGCTCTCAACTCAAAAAAAAAAAAAAAGCCTTACCTTCTCTGTTAGATTGAATATTAAGGCACATACCAAGCCGTAGTCACGTATAAACTCTTGAACTGCAATTTTTATTATTTTGCTCTTTAGAGAGAGGCTGATTTTATAGAATTGATAGCAACAGTTTACTGTGTCCTAATGTCCTTTGGGAACAATGGTGTGCTTAGACAGATGAGTAGTCATCTGAGTTTATGAGAACATAGTCACAGTCTAGCTTTGGAAATTTGTCTTTCTGCCAGCAGTGTTTTTCAAATTCTGCAGAAATGTCTTGAGGTGCTCATTATACGCTCCCAAAAATGGAATGCATAAACAATTGCAGTTTGTAACATTTTCTCTACAGTATTTCGTAGGTAGCTCACTTTCAGTGCGGCATTGCATCATAATCTCAGTTTTATAACAACAAATTAGAGCTATATAAATTCTCCTGTGTGCGATTATAGTTTTCTGTCTGTCTGAAAGGGTGTGCCATCTTGTGCGTACTCGGATTCTCATGCTCTTCTGCTGTTAAAGAGATCCCTCTGCACACTAGTATTTTACCATCAGGCAACGAAATTATTCCTGGCTATTGGTTGCTAGGCTATTAGAGCTTTAATAATAACTTTCAGTTCAGCATCTCTTTGCCTTTACCTCTGATATCTTTGAACTGTGCACCGTATAGGACAATCAATCCTGCCAGTATCAGACCCTTTTGCAGTAATTTCCAAAATCTTTAAAGGAAAAAGTATCAGATAAGTAGATTTTTGTCATTATGTCCTGAACATGTAAACCGCTTAAAGAATTATTGACTGGTTAAAATAAATTATAATAATACTTTTCTTTCTTAATATTGTGATTTTGCTCCTGGCTCCTTGAATATTAGTAGGAATTTTATTGTGAAGTTCATCACCACCGAAAGTCTAGGTGGCCATGTATCTTGTTAACTGCTGACCAGAAAGTAAGACAACCACGTATTTGCGAAAGCCTCCATGTGTGACAATGAAGCAGTCTAAAGATGAGAAATACTGAAGCCAAAATAGCCAGGCACGTTCCACTGGCCTGATATGAGCGAAGCAGAAGTACGTAGTCTTGTAGACAGTTATGTTATTTCATTGGAATTTATTGTGTTACAGTGTTTGAATTTAAAATTTTTGAACTCAAATAGTTACAGGGAACATTAACATGTTCAGAGCATTGCCATCTATTAAATAAGGGCCATACGCTATATAGCTACAACTATGAAATCCTAGTGAATGGGAAAGCAAATTGGACTGCGTTTCTGGCCTACCGCCAGGATGCTGTGCTCCGTCAAATTCAGTTGTCTGTATTTGGCTGAGTACTGTTTACACGTGTAGTAAGTATGAAGCCTAAGTATGTGTTATTCAACATAGCAAGGAACGCAAAATTTGGCTCTCAATGGTTTGTCAAAAGAATTCATGTGTTTAGGCAGCGTAAACTGTAATGCAGGCTAACTGATATTCTCATTTACTTTTTATGTAACGGCCTAAAGAAAGGCCCTTTATAAGGTAAATCTGCTCGGTGGTGCCTTCTTATTTTTTGGAGAACTGTAGCCTTTCTTTTAACATCTGACAATGGAAACAGATAATATTATACTCGTTGCACCATCTTAACTATTACCTTCTTACGAGCATGGATTTACAATATTCTTATGTCAGATGTCACAGTGGGCTCATGTTTCCCTCTGAGCCTTTGAGTCTGTCTATGTCCCGCTGTGGAGGTCCCAGAGGAATTCTGCCAGAGAGACTGGTCTGTGTTTGTATCCAGAACTTCTCGCGTGCCTTGCCGAAGGTATGAAGGTACATTCGTCATGTGAAAGGCTGTAAATGATGTCAGCTCTTGTCAGTGAGCTTCAGCTTGGAAATTCCTCTGTGCCGTTAGGGTCAGGTGCGTCGTTCGCCCCCGGCCCCAGCCACGGGCCACGGGGACGCTCGCGCCTCTCACAGCTGGGGGACAAAGGGAGATGAGGATCACCGAGGAGCCAGTGGCAGCGGCGCTCGCGTGCTGTTTCGGAGCTGGGAGCTCGTATGAACGGGCCTACAGGTCCAAGCACCTGGGCTGCAGAAGAGTTGTTGCCTCGCAGTAGAGTCTGGCTCCCAAAGCAAAGGAGGGCCAGCGCGGGTCTCCAGAAATGCCCTCGTGATTCAGGGGTCAGTTCAGTTAACTAGAGGCTACAGAGACACGTGGGCTGAAACAGCGGTTACTGCCTGGCAGCTCTGTGGCCAACGCAGTCCTTGCTCGCACAAGCTGTGCGCTGGCAGCTTATCACTCGCATAACAGAAAGGAAAAAAACCTGCAAAAAAATTAGTGTTTCCAAAAGAAGAACACTTGGTATGGTCAGACTTGATTGTGTCCCTTACTGCCACAATGGCTGAGCAAGTTATTTTGTAGAAGTTAAATATCCCTTCCCTAATTCTCCTGGAGAGCATGTGCCAGCCCTGAAAATCTTCCCTCTTCCTCTAGATAACCACTCTGTATTCACGCACCAGAGCTTGTTCTGCAAGGCACAGCTCTGTACCTTGTTTTTTATGCTAATGTTAGTCTTTGCAGTCTTTGCTTGGATGCTTTAGTTTGTTGAAGGCAGTCCTCCCACCCGTATGGAAATAGGTCTCCGAACGAGCTTGCTAACTTAGCGTGTTTGAGAATCACACCCAGAAAGCAAAAGCATTTGAAGAAAAACTGCTCTCGATATAGCTCAATTAAGAATACTAAACAGATTGTGTGCTTTCCTGTGCAGTAACTAACATTCTTCAGATGGGTTGTCCGTGTGGATTTTCCACTAAGTAGTCTCCTTTCCCTCCTGTGTTTGTTTTTTTTCCTATTCTCTGGCGAGAATCTGTAGTAAAAAATAAGTAAGTACTCGGAGTGGTGGTGGCTTCCGCGCCCCTTTTTATTTTTTTTCAAAGTGTC